GGGGAGTGTGCACACCCTGGTGTTGACTCGGGTGTGCACATATCTTTATCCAAGAAAATAATTAGTATATTGTGTAGTTTGACACACATTTCAACACCACTCGGTTCAACTATTAAAACATTATATAAGAATAGACAATTCAGCTAATTTTGACATCATATATATATATCTTTCAAGTTTATTTACTTTTAATTTCAAACTAAAAAATAATAACTTTTTAATAAGTGTGTTATATAATCTATTAAGTTGGAAGGTGTACTAATTAATGTCCTACTACAAATCTTTTTAACACATTAATTAGTATATCCTTCATTCAACATACTATATAACACATTCATTAAAAAATTATTATTTTTTAGTATACAATTAAAGGCAGATAAACTTAAAAATGCCACCATACAACCATTCATATAGGATGCAATAACTAGTTAAATAAATTATATTTGTATTATATTTTAATAGTTGAACTATGCAAGTGTCAAAAAATATGTCGAATCAGTGCACATACCAATAATTTTCCATCTTTCTTTGAAGAACTTTCAATTTTCTAGTTTGTTTCATCATCATATACTTATGTTGTTGTTATGTATTTTAATTTAAACTTAACTTAATACATGTATCTCTTATCATTTTTCTTTCTTAAATTGATATTTTTTTCACATTATTTTGGGCTTTTTTACGTTTTTGCATCAATTTCACCTTTATTCTTTCATATTATCTTCATGTATTTATGCGTGTAAGTGTGTGTACATATATATATATATATTTGTAAATCCCTCTATATATTAGTAATTTACTTTTTCATTATTTGGCTGTAATATTATATATGTTAGATATAAACTACGTTTTAATAGATATTTTTTAAAAAAGTCTATTGGCATTTGTTATAAAATTTTAGAACTCATTTGGTATTTATTGATATTTTAAAGTTCAATGTTTATTTATTGAGGATTTTTAAAGTCCAATGAATAATTATTCAATAATTTTTTAGAGAATTTTATTCTTACTGCAATTTTATATATAACTAAGATTAAGATATTAAGTACTCCACATATTTGTGTATATTATAGTATGAATGATAGTTGAAATTTTTTATACATAAATTTTTATTAAATAATTTCAATTAATAAATTTTTTTAATATATTGCTATTCAGATATTGATCTTTGTCATTTATATATAGTATCTTCCTCAAACAGTAGTTTATTAAAGATTCGGAAAACACGCAAAATTATCAGAACTTTAAATTTTATATTACGTAAAAATTTCATATTTATTGTTGAGTTTTTTTAGCAATAAAAAAGCTTCAGCTCACCCAAAATGTGACAACTAAATTTGGAAAGAGATGATTAAACTTGAAGAAAGTAGTAATTAATGGTATTATATAAAGGTACAAAAATGTGATGAATAAAAGTGCAGATCAACCTAAAAAACCTCAACCCCATAAAAATGTTAAGCAAAAGTAAAAATACAAATAATATAAAGTTTCATAATTTGAAAATGTTTTACACAAATTTTCTTACACAACACCTTATCTAAAAATATAAATTTATTATTTTTAATTAATTTTAAGTAATATTTTTATATATTTTTATTAATTTTAGTTAATATGTTATATATTTTTATTAATTTTAATTAATATATTATATATTTTTATCATAATAAAACAATGAAGACAGTAGTATTTAAAAAAAAAAAAATAGAAGAGTTTAGCATTTGTTTATGAGCCCATCGAAGGCTCTCTCTCACACAACCCTTATGTAGGCCCGTACAACATCTATCCAATAAGAGAGCCTCCCACGGTCTTTGTTGCCCAGTTTAGAGTTTGTTTGGTTTGAGAAAAGAAGAGGGGAGCAGAGACACAAAAAAAAAAAAAGGAAAAAAAGGAAAAAAAGGAAAAGAGAGAGATTAGATGGGATGGGATGTGAGGAAAATTGAGGAAAATGAAAATGCAAGAGTACAACATTTTTTCATTTTCCACCTTTTGCCTCGGCTTCAAACATATTTTAAATAGAAATCTCTAATTATTCTTATTTTTTTAGTTGTCCTAATTTTAACTTGTAAAATTAAAAGAATATCTTACGAAGCAACTAAAAATATAAAGATTAAGGCTTGAAATACCTTTGTTTATCCCAAATAAAAGCATTTCTCATTTATCAACAGCTTCGAGTAGCATGTGTGAATTTGGAATAAGAGTATTTAATGTCTTGTGAAAATAAAAAGTGGGACAATTAAAAAAAAAAACCTTAATTTAATAGATGGGACAATCAAATAAAAATATGGAGTATTTTTTTATCTTTTTTTTTTTGTATAAGTTAATATATATATATATATATATAT